CACAGCCCTCTCCTTCATTAACCGCTGCCCTAAAGGTAATCCTGTCTACTATTTCAAGACATCCAAACATATCGATTGGATCACTGATGCCATCAATAAATACGACGACAACACCACTGATAATCAAGTTATAACTTCTTGTGGTCACTATTAGGACAAACAGATTATAACTTATATGATTACAGAATATACACAAAATAGTTATTCATTATTAATGATATAATGATTATTAATTAGGATAAATAAATAAATTAGTAAATCATTTTAGATAATTTATAAAACTAAAAGTGTTTTTCAGAAACTATATTACTACAGTATAATAACTATGATAGTTACTAGATCATTTCAAACTTTGAGTGCTATTCAAACAAAACTGGTGTAACACTAGACGGCGTTCATAGGGTTTACATTGAATTCACGTGCAATGCATTGACTGTCACTCTGAGCGCCAAAAGCACACAAAACACCAAACATTTGCCATTTAATCGTCTTTTTGTGTCACTAATTGTCACCTAATTATGGGAACCGCTGATGCCATGGATTGCACTGCCGCTGATAATCCTAACATTCACTGGTGAGTGACATAACAGTTGATGACTGAATGAGTTGTTTGTATGAATGAAATGACAATTAGTTTGTATCTTAAAGGGTGGAGAAGTATCGACCGAAACAATTGGATCAATTGATTTCACACCACAATATCATCAGCACATGTGAGCATTAGGATTGTGTGGACACATTGATTTCGTGACTCATTGAATGGCATGTCTGACCACTTAGTGAGCAAATTCATGGCAGAGAAGCGGTTACCACATCTGCTTCTGTACGGCCCGCCCGGCACTGGAAAGACGTCGACAATCCTGTCGTGCGCTCGACAGCTCTATTCACCACAACAGATGTCATCAATGGTTCTCGAGGTTTGTGTCCAACAGTTGGTCGTCGAGCACCGGCCGTTTCACGGCTCCGGCGTTCAATGAGTTGTAATGTATTGATGTTTGTCTTAATGTGGGATCAGTTGAACGCATCGGACGAGAGGGGCATAGATGTGGTGAGGGGTCCGATACTGAACTTCGCCTCCACTAAAGCCGTATTCAAGTCTGGCTTCAAACTAATCATTTTGGATGAATGCGATGCCATGACGAACGACGCCC